AGCATATATTCACATGCAGAATAGCAGAATGCAAGTACTTTATATTCTATTAACATTTTATTAGTTTTTTAAAGTTAAGATTCAAAGCAATGGGTTTCATTTGGGCATTTTCATACATACTTTGTTTGTTTTTGTCTCTTTCCCCACCCCTCTCCTCACGCTCTGGTCCTCTTTTGCTGTCTACTCCAATAGTTCCCTTTCTGTTTTCATATCACATGTGTTTCATTTCCTTCTCCTTTTCATCCTCTTTGCTTATGATCTATTGTTTCCCTTTCTCAGTCCCTGCTCTAGTTTTACGACCTACTGTCGTCCCCCCCCCCCACACGCTTTTGCACTTGAAATAAAGTCCATAGTATTTCTGTTTCTGAATCATTGTGTCTGTTTTGCGACAGTATCACACATGACACCTGAAGTATCATCATAGTGTTGCAGTATAATTTGAAGTCAGGTATTATGACACCTCCAGCATTGTTTTATCCTGACAACTGCTTTGGATGTTTGGTGTCTTTCATGTTTCCATACAAATTTTAGGATTTTTTTTCTAGCTTTGTGAAGAATGCCATTGGGGTTTTGCTGGAGATTGCATTGAATCTGTAGATTATTTTCCATACCATAGCCATTCTCACACTATCCTGGTCTGTGAGCATGGAAAGATTTTCCATTGTCTAATTGTCTTCAGTTCCTTTTCTCGGTGTCTTAAAGTTCTAATTGTAGAGGTCTTTCTATTTCTTGGTTAGGTTGATTAGTCATTTTGTTACTTTCTGGGAAGCTATTGTTATTGGGATATTTTCGGAATTTCTTTCTTGGCACATTTGCTATCATGTATAGAAAAGCTACTGAATTTTACATGTTAAGTTTTGTATCCTGGTACTTTGTTGAAAATGTTTATCAAATATAAGAGTTTTCTGATGAATTCTTTAGGGACTTTTAAGTATAGGGACAAGCTCTCTCCAAATAGGGATAATCTGATTTCTTCTTTAGCTATTTTATACTCTCCTTTACACTATATAAATGATTCAATTAACACTAGCTGCATGCGGCTACTTAAGATTAAAAATTAAAATAATTAAAATTACATTAAATTCAGTTCCTCAGCTGCACAAGCTACATTTCAAATACTGAATGACCATGTGCCAGTGGCTAATGTGCTAGGATAGATGTAAAACACTTCTGTCCTCATAGAACAC